AATTTGTTTATAATTATCTCAAAAAAATTTATAACAATTTTATTGCAAAAAAACACACTTTTTTATGAAAAAAAATTTTTCAATTATTATTTTGACATGGAAAACTAAAGAATATGGTCTCCAAAGCACAAAATATCGCGTCCTTGAACTCTCAGCTATAAAAATCCATAATTACTTTTTATTAAATTCAAGATGGCGGATATGAAAATGGCCATTTTTCCAAAATGCAAAAGGCCGAAAAAAATTCAAATGCAAAATTCAAAATGGCGGATCCAATATGGCGGACAATTTTTTAAAAAGTGATTAAATTTGCTTGAAAATGGTTACTCGGAAGTTTTTGGGGTCGCTGATTACGAATCTGATGTAACTTTTTTAAAATTCAAAATGGCGGATCCAATATGGCGGACATATTTTTTAAAAGTGATTGGATTTGCTTGAAAATAGTTACTCGGGGGTTTTTGGGGTAGCTGATTTCGAAACTGATGTTACTTTTTCAAAATTCAAAATGGCGGATTCAATATGCCGGTAATTTTTTTAAAAACTGATTGGATTGGCTTTAAATTGACCATTCGGGGGTTTTTGGGGATGCTAATTACGAATCTGATGTTACTTTTTCAAAACTAAAAACAGTGGATCCAATATGGCAGACAATTTTTAAAAAGTAATTAGATTCGCTTGAAAATAGTTACTCGGGGGTTTTTGGGGATGCTGATTACGAATCTGATGTTACTTTTTCAAAACTAAAAACAGTGGATCCAATATGGCAGACAATTTTTAAAAAGTAATTATATTTGCTTCAAAATGGTCATTCGGCGGTTTTTGAGTATGTTAATTACGAATCTGACTTTAGAACAATATTATGTTTATCCTCCACGTCCGTTAGCCGTCAACAAAATTTTAATGACGTTGCCCAGCTCTTATCACAAGGAGGTCGACGTGCAAAAAAGCTACTTCTTTTATTTTATTTAAAAAATTTTTTTTGTTTTTTTTTATTTAAAAATTTTTTTCTAAATATTTTAATATTTTTTTAAATAAATAATATAAAATTTTAATTCTACTTTCTAAATCTGAATCAACGATAATTATGACACTTATTTAATTATGACATTTTTTATACAATGATAAAAAAGAGACTAACACAACATGTGGTTTGATTGAAAACAAGTGACGCACATATATATGACACATTGAATGCACAATTTTTGTGTCCTTTGTTGCACTTTGCATGCTAGTGGCTATATTTTTCGAGGCAAAATACAAAAAAAAATTTGTAAATAAAATTTGAAAACAACTGGCTTTTTTGCACTTCGACCTCCTGGTGGTAAGAGTAAAGATCTAATCTAATCTAATCTGACACCGAGATCGAGCTGGATTTTCCTCAAGAGGGGAAAGTAAGCACCTAGGTTATAGAACCCATTGTACCAAACTCCAGTTCGCTCGTTTGTAGCAACTTCTTAGAGTCCTGTTCTTCTCCAGAAGTCCAGTATCTCTTCTATCGATAGGTTGCTCACCTGCTTAGGGTCAATAATTGCTTGACCCCAGCTAGATAGCCTGATCCTAGCTAACGCTGGGCATTCAGATAATATGTGAGTCGAAGTTTCGTTACTTTCCCCACACAGTCTGCACATAGGTGAAACTTGTCTGCCTATTTTATGCTGATGGTAGTTCAATAGTCCATGACCTGTAAGTAGACGAACTACGGTTCTAACTCTGATCTTATCGAGTTTTAGGAGATCGCTCGCTCGCCTCTTGTTGAGTGCTAACCCCAACAGAGTTTTCGCTTGCCTTCCCACCCCAACGCTCGCCTAATACTTCTCATGTTCCTTTTCACCCCATCTTTCTATGGCTCCCTTAACCAAGCATGGCATTATTGCCACTGCTGGTTCAGGACCTATAAATTTCGTCTCGGAACCGGTTTTCGCCAAGACGTCTACTCTTTCATTACCCTTGATTCCCGAGTGTCCCGGTACCCAAATCAATGAAAGTCTATTTACTGAACCCAACTCATCTAGTACGCTGCGGCATTCCCAGACGAGTTTTGATTCTATTGTGGGATTTTTCAGAGCCCCTACGGCCGCTTGACTATCCACACAAATACTAATCCTCTTGCCCTTTGTTCCATTTCGAATGGATATTTGGGCGCAAGTTAAAATCGCACAGACCTTTGCCTGCCAGACCGTGGCATATTGTCCTAATGACTCAGCCACTTTAATGTGGCCAGTTTTCCGATAAATTCCGAAGCCTGCACCGCAGTCCATCTTGGAGCCATCTGTATACCAGACTTAGTCCCCAAGTGGAAAACCTTTCTTCCAGTCTATTCTGGAAGGTGTAATGATCTTAAAGCGGGGTTTAAATTTCACCCTCTTGATCATTCTATCTTGCACCATACTTAATTCTGGTATTGATAGAATTGAGCGTGGAAGCTTGGTGTGTAAACCACCAACCCTCCACCTTCCCTTCGCAGTTAACCTGCTCATAGTAAGAGCCGCCTTTTTCACCGCGGCAATATGCAGAGGTACCTCGGCAAGCATGAATCCCAACGCAGCTGTTGGCGTGGTCCCCATTGCCCCCGTAATACCCCTGAAAATCATTGCCTGCAGTTGGCCTAGTTTCTCTTTAACCGTTATCAGTTGAGTCCTAAACCACCAGACAACCACCGCGTGAAGAAACCTTGGTTTTAAGATCATCTGATAGAGCCAGTTGACCATATTAGGCCTTAGTCCCCACGATGACCCTATCGCCCTTCTACACGCCCAAAACGCGGTACAAAACCTGCCATACTGATATTCGAAATGTTCCCTCCAAACCAGCTTTTTATCCAGTATTACTCCCAGATACTTAGCCGATTCAGAAAAGGAAATCTCTTTTCCATAAAATATCGGTTTTTTCAAACTCGGTACCTTATATTTTCTTGTGAAAACTACTATGTTCGTTTTCTCCGGGTTTACAGAAAGTCCAGTCAGATTGCACCAATCCCTGACAATCTTAAGTGCACGTTCCGTAAGTTCTAAGAGGGTCTCGATTGCGTGCCCTCTTATAATTATAAGGAAATCATCCGCATAACTTTGCGTATAATAACCCTGGCTATTGAGGTTCCTAATTAACTCATCTGCCACCAAGCACCACAATAAAGGAGAAAGGACTCCACCCTGTGGGCACCCTTTTGAGACCAGGCCTGTTACCTTAGCCTCACCATATTCCGCTTCCAGGGCCTTTTCTCGAAGCATGCTATCGATCCACTTAACTAGCGGCTCGGGCACACCTCGCATCCTGGCTGCCCTACAAATGGCTTTACTAGAAGTGTTAGGGAAGGCACCTTCGATATCAAGAAAGGTGCCAACCGCATAACCCCCGCTGCTAATTTATCCCTCTATTCTGCCTACTGCCGAATGGAGGGCTGTTTCTACTGAGAAGCCTGCTCTATATGCATGCTGTCCCTGATGCAGGGGAAAATCTCTAAGACATTCCTGTCTAATAAAATTATCCACCAGTTTCTCTAACGTCTTTAATATAAAAGAGGTTAGGCTAATTGGCCTGAAGTCCTTCGCCGCAGTATACCCTGACCGACCGGCCTTCGGAATAAACACAACCCTCGTCTTTTTCCAAGACTCCGGTGTATAACTTAGAGCTATACAAGCTCTCATAATTTTACACAGGGGTACTCTAATACAATCCAATCCCTTTTGCAAAAGAACCGGATATATACCGTCCCCCCCTGAAGCTTTAAATGGTTTGAAAGTGCTTATTGCCCAATCAATCCCTTCCGGAGTTACAACCCTGGCTGCTAGTTTCCAGTGTTCCCGATTTCCTCGGTTCCTACCTGGTCCTATGCCATGGCTGTTCTCCAGACCTTCTCTAAAGCCCGGGAAGTTTACCTCCATCAAGTGCTTTAGACACTCCCTTTTATCCTGGTCATACTGCCCATTAGGGCAGTATGCTCTCTCTACTTCTTTCTTGTAAGAATCGCGAGCGGTATGATATTCATCCCATGCTCGCTGATGCCTACGTTTCTTAGCCTTATTAAAGAGCTTTCTTACGGTTTTCCTATGTTCCTCCAAACGGGGGGTCCACCATTTACCGCCCCCATTGAAGCCCATTTTCTTAACTACACAGTTCCTTTCAAAGGAACAGATAATAGAATCTCGCAGATATTCCGCTGCAAGCTCTAACTCCTCCATCGTTCCATAGGAAGTGGGGAAGCACGCCATGGAGGCCCTGAGGTCTTCACTATATGAAGCCCAGTCGGTACTCCTAGGATTACGACCCCACTTCTGTTCCCGATCCTTCGATTCCAATCTAAACGTAATAAGCCTGTGGTCTGAGAGGGAATCCTCATCAGACACCCTCCAGTCCCTCACACAAAGACTTGGAACAGATCGTAATATCCAACACCTCTTTTCTGTTAACAGTAACGAAAGTCGGCTCATTACCCTGATTTAAAATGTCTAAATCTGTATCTAACAGAAAATCTAAAAGTCTTCTGCCTCTGGCATTAATGTCTGTGCTACCCCAAACAACATGATGCGCATTAGCATCACACCATATTAACAAGGGAAGCCCTCGCCTTTGGCAGTAATCTACCAACCTCTCCACCTCTCTTGGTGGTGCAGGTTCATCCCCTGTTCCCGGAAAGTAAGCGGACGCTATAACCACCTCCCTTTTATTTCCGTTCTTTTCTAGATACTTAGCTTTAACTACAGCTAAGTCCCTAGTAGTTAATTCCAAAAGTGGGAAAGCATCTAGACCTTTATAGATCAGACACGCCCTCGGAACTGGTTCCTGTGGTAAACTAACCAGCTCGCCACAGCCGTTCAGACCTCTAATTCTCCCCTTGAAAACCCAAGGTTCTTGAATAAAGGCTAAAGCTGTCTGCATCTTTGTCAAGCTCTTGGCTAAAATCGCCGAAGCGCCCTTACAATGATGAAAATTAATCTGCACACAATTAATCCCGGAAGCAGCCATTTTTAATGCTGATTCACGGTTTCCTCAGTCGCTTCCCCTCACTGAGTACCCTGCCCAGCAGCTGTGTCAGTACCTTGCCTCGCCACTCTTAGAGTGATTTGACCTAGCCCAAAACACAGTTTCAACTGCCGGGCTTGGAGAGCTTCAATGTCGCTCTTTGGTACTCCTAACGCGAGAGTCCAGCCCACAGCCGAAGCTTGGTCTGCTCTCCCCTCGCCTCCCGAATACACCCTCCACGCGGATGTATCCACCCCGGTATTTTGTCTACCGAGGTTTTTAAGGATTGAAGCCTGGTTCACCCTAGGACCGGGTACCCACGCCACAACCCTTACCAGCTTGATTAGCTCAGCCGGATCCACCACTTTGATGGCAAGACCCTCTAACGCCTGACTGAACCTAGGTATACGGCTATTTAGCCATTCCCTAGATTCTGAGTCCAGGCACTCTACTAGGATCGCTCCCCTAGTGAGGTGAACCTCTCCAAAATGAGGATAGGGTCCGACTTCGTCCCCCCCAATCTCCTCATGAATTGCTACCCTTAATTGGTCTAGATTAGCCAACGTCATCTGGACCCTAGGATAGCCTTCCGCGACGATCGCCCCGGCTAATGACGATCTAGTGATCTCCGCAAACGATAAGGTTCCCCCTTGTGGGCCCCTTATCTTCTTTGGCGGCATTCTATTGCTAGGGGAAGCCTCCTCTGAGTCCTGCCGTCTTTTCCTCGACCCGGACCCCGACGCCCTCCCCCCCACTCCAGAAGTGTTCTGAGAAGAGCCAGCAGTATGCGATTCGGTTCTCAGAGAGTCCCGAGCTCGCTCCCGCCTTCTCCTCCTTACTGCAGCCCCACTTAGTCCCTTGCCATCAAGGGCAAGGTTACCCAAGTGTTGCTGAACCCTATCTACTTGTTGCGAGGTTTGGTCCCCTGTGGTCCCAACCCCCGCCCCAAGCGTAGTCCCCGCGCCAGCATTGAGATTCCCCGAAGGGGGCTCTGCAATGCCCGCCTGTTCCGCGTTATTGCTTCGATCTTTGTTTAAATTAGTAGTATCCATTTTGGTCCCACGAGAAAAGAGGAAATAAAAGGTCCGTCCTTGAAGAGCCTCTATTCAAGGATAAGGCTAAATACATCCGACAGTTCGCCTGGTATCTAGGAGTCTCGTTACAGATACCTCCATTCGAGCCCCCTACGGGGACGGGTCGTCCAGAGGACGGGCCCCTCCTGTAACACAACCGTTCCCGAACTTTACGAGAGCTAAGTAATGCCTAGCGATGGTCTTCCCCCGTCCAACCCCCCACGGAAGAACCCGACGGATTTGTTAACCCTAGTATCATTCATCCATGGACACGAGTTCATCACGGATTGGGTGGCAGAGACTCGCGCCTCAATCGCCATGGCACAGCCAACGTAACCATGGAAGGGTTTCTTCTTGGTCAGACTTCCACCAGTGAGAAGTCTTCGGAATGGACCCGCGGTTAAGCCTCTGTCCATCCCGTCTCTCTCGATATCCCTCTAAATCCCCGTGCCCTGAGACACTGCCCAGCGAAACACAGAAAATTCGGTTTCTGTAGCGGCCGACCCATTTTAAAGGGTTCGACCCCCCATTCCCCACGAGAGATATCGAGAAGTAGCCTCCCACTGGGTAAAGCCCCTCGTGCGCCTCCCACCAACGGCAAGGTCTTGAAACCCCTAGGGAGGGAAGAGCAAAGATAAACATATTATTGTTCTGATGTTAGATTCGTAATCAGCATCCTCAAAAACCCCGGAATGACCATTTTCAAGCAAATACAATCACTTTTTAAACAATTTGTCCGCCATATTTGATCCGCCATCTTAAATTTAATAAAAAGGAACTATAAATTTTTATAGCTGAGAATTCGAGGACGCGATATTTTGTGCTTTGGAGGCCATATTCTTTAGTTTTCTATGTCAAAATAATAATTGAAAAAAAATTTTTCATAAAAAAGTGTGTTTTTTGCAATAAAAAGGTTATACATTTTTTTGAGATAATTATAAACAAATTTTAGCTTCATATTCAGAAAGAGCGATAAATTTTACGTCGGAAATGGTATTTCCTAAAATTTTTAACTAATTATTTCATACAAAATAAGAGTCGTGAAATCATTGTACATTTTGTGTCCTCGAGGGCGTTAATGGGTTAATTAACATTTTTCCCGTCTAAGACACTAAAATTTAAAACAAAAATTGTCTTTTTCAAAACATTTACAATATAAAATTTTTCATTTTTACTCATAGTAATCATAATAATACAACACTAACCTACCTAATTTTTTTACACAAAAAACATTTTTATAATAAAGTTTAAAAATTAAAAAATTATATCATTTATATTAATTTATTTTTAAATTTATATTCATAAGAAAATACAAAGTATTTATAAAATAAAAAAATCTGCCCGCCCTTCGGGCGGACACATTTTCATCCGCGCTTCGCGCGGGAGGCTCGTTTCGCTCGCAAGTTTCAGCGCGCCTCGGGGCGCGCGAATTTTGGTCGTCGCGCTTCGCGCTCCGAGGATTGTTGCGCGCTTTGCGCGCAAATAGCTCGCTGCGCTCGCAGTCATCCGCGACCGTTGTGCATTATTTGCGTTCTTTTCCTTTTTTCTATTATATGTTTCAAGGAATTATTTTTTCTTAAAGTTACTACGACTTTAAAGATTACATTCTCATCACATATTTTTGCTTGCAGATAATTGCGAGATTAAGTGAACTTAAATGCAAATTTTTGTTCTTGCTGATCGAAAATGAGAAATTATTTTAACTACTAAATATTTTCGCAGAAATATGAGTTGTTGAAGAAGCTACAATATTTTAAAAATACAAGTCGGGTAACAGTGACAAGCCTTAAGCCGCTCACTGCTACTTGACTAGTATTATTCCTTTCAACCACGCGTTCGTCCCCTTATTGCAGCCAGCCCTTCATTTGTCAATAACAATTATTTGTATAAACTGCTGCTCAAATTGATTAAATCATAAAATATCTTTATGTTTTTATGAACATCTTACTTATTTGCAAAATTTAAAAATAACCCTAGTTTCTAGGCGCTTTAGATAAGAAAAATAATAAAATAATAATAACTACATAGTATACTTCTTATGAGATTTAATGCAATTCGAGGGGTAAAACATATAAAAAAATTCAAATTGTTTATTTTTATAAACAGTTTGAATTTTTAAAATTATTAAATAAATAAATAATATAAAAAATAAAATAAATATATTTATTTATTTATTTATTTTTAATATAATAAATAATAATATTTAATAAATAAATTTTATTATTATTTTGAATTTTTTAAATTATTATTAAAAATATGAAATTTTTAAATTTACAATCATGAAAATATTTTCATTTGAAAGAGTGAACTACTATGTGTAGTCAGTGTAAATTTCATTAATTTACTGTAAACGCATTTTAAGTTATTAATTATTTTTTAAAATGATGTAGTATTCTGTTCTAATGCAAACAAAAAATTTCAAATTTAAAAAAACAGTTAAAAGTTTTACATGCAGGTCCTTGCAAGTGTCCCGCCAGCAGATCTTTTGGCGAGGGAAAGGGAAGAAATGTTTCTCTTTTCTAAAGAAAGAAGTTCCTTACATGAGGAAATAAGACCAAGCAAGGGCCTGATCCGCAAAGAAGCGAGGCACAGGCTCATAGAAAGATGGCAAGAAAGATGGGATGGTGAGGAAAAAGGTCGATGGACTTATCGCCTTATCCCGGCACTCGCCACCTGGATAAATAGGAAACACGGTCAGGTTTCCTATTATTTGACTCAGGCGCTCACAGGTCACGGGTGTTTTAACTCGTACCTGTGTCGCTTTAAATTACGCGAGGACGAGGTGTGTGCATATTGCCAGTTCCCTGAGGACAACGCGGAGCACACCCTCTTCTCATGCAAAAAATGGGACTTGGAGAGGCGGGCCATGTTCGAAGGTGTAAACAGTCAAGTTACACCGGAGAATATGGTATCGCTGATGACCCAGTCGGAAGAGAATTGGCGGCAAGTCGAGAACTTCATAATCTCGGTTATGTCGAGGAAGGATCTCGACGGCCGCCAAAAAGCGTAATTTAAACAGCTTTTAATTTCTTTTGTTTGTTTTTTATTAATTTATTATGTGATTTATTTGTCCTTATACATTTTTTAATTTGTTTTATGTTTTCAATATTATATACGCGTTTATTTTTTCTTTTTTTATATATCCGTTTGCAATTTTATCTTTTGACTGTTTACACTTAATTAAACATTTGTTTTGTTTTTTTTTATTATTTTTGTGCTGTTAATTCCGCTTTTATATTAAAATAGTTCTCAATTTAACTATTAACGCAGGATAACCGCAGAGAAAAGCAGAAAGTCGCATTAGCGACAGAGTTGGAGCGCCACCCTCGAAGGCTAAAGTCTTACGACAGTTCCGAGGGAGGGTAAAGGGCTCCAGAAGAAGGGTTACGGGTTTTAGTGGGTCGGGCTGGCAGTAGGTCGCCATTTTATTAAATTTACTCTTTTATATATTTATTTTTCTTTTTTTATCTCCTTTTGTTTTATCACACCAACCCTACATAACCTTGGAGTGCGGAATCCAAGGTATCTGTAGGCAGATTTCCCAAAAGTCTCTAAGCAAAAAAAAAAAAAGATTTAAAAAAACAATAAATTTTTTTAACACAGTAGAACTGGTCGGGCCCAAAAACTTAAAAAAAAAAAGTCTTTTAAAAAAAATGTTATAAAGAAAAGTTGTTTGTATTTTTCTAATCTAAAATAATATAAAGTTAAAAATTCTGAAATTTGAAAAAATTGAGTTTTCAAAATTTTGAAACTACCGTAGTTTTTGTAGTTTTCAACGAAAATGGCTGGTTAACGAACTTAACCTTCATTTTTACACCAACTTTAAGTGTGTTAAATTTAAAAACGATCAGATAAGATTTTTAAAAGTTATTGTGTCAACAACATTTTGGTCTACAGACGGACATACATACATACAGACAGACAGACACACAGACAGACGGACTCGCCGGACCATGTTTTTCGGGTTTAGGGGACCTCAAAACGTAAAGATTTCATAAAATTATCGAAAGTCAATTTTCGACCAAAACTAATACTTTCTCATGTGATGAGAATGTAAAAATTTGAATATTAGTCAGTTAAGGGGGAAAACCACATTAGAACGCTGTTTTTTTACCGTTTTTAGCGATTTTTTTTTTAAATAAGAATTTTTTTGAATGAAATAAAACATTTCCACTATGTTGTTCATATATATATAACTGTAACTCATATTTTTTATAAGCGTTTATATCAAAAATCTTCCAAATTGGGAGCTATTGCATATAGAGCTGCTTCGCCGGAGTTCATGTCTGCCTTGCAGTCCTGAGCCCACAAATTTTGTCCGAAAGCAAAAAATCAAGTTTATTCATATTTTATAATTAATATTTTATTATTAAGAGAACTAACTTTTAAGTGAAAATATTAATAATTGAAAAATTGACACTACTTTAAAAAAAAATTCGATTTTTTGCCTACTTTTTTGCAACTTTTTTAGTTTAAAAAAGGTACTAAATTGTTTTTTTCTTTTCAAGTTTAGTTCACTTAATAATAAATTTAATAACGAACAATTTCCAATTTTTCATTTTAAAATCAGTCAATAACTTTTTGAGCTACACTGCACGGCAATTTTTAAAATCCTGTTTTGAGAGAAACGCATTTGAAAAAATAGTATCAAAAATTGATATTTATACAAAAAATTTTTGTTAAAGTGATTACACTTTAATCGGCTATTCCAACACTATATAATGAGGCATTTTACGTGAAATGTCCTAAGTTGAAATTTCAACTTCTTGAAAAAAATTGAAACTCAAGGAATTTGTTGTTCTATCAAGTAGAAATATTATCAAAAAAATATTTTTGATTTTTTCGAAAAATTGGAGGGGGTAGAGGGGGGTCAATTTGACCAATTTTGCCAACACCGGCTACTTTGTGAATTTTTTCTGAACATACTTTTAATGGGAAAATTTTTTTAGAATGTGTTTCTGAAAGGTTTTTTCGTCCTC